GCGCATAATTCGGCGTCCTCCTCGGATTCTTCATGGCTCCTCACACTACACCCTTTCAGAACCGCCCACAAGGCGCCCGCGGTGGTGCCACGTCCGGCCGGGGCGGACAGCGCGGTGGACAAGGTGGACGCGGTGGCGGCGGACGACGCAACTGGGACTTCAAACCCCAACACCTTCGCGACGCCTCCGTCAAAGTCGGGCCCGAATGGAAGGTCCGCGACGAGTACGACTTCCCCAGGCTCAATAAGCTCGTGTACGATCCCGCCGGGAAGGTGTTGCCCGGGGATGCGCCCAACAGTGTCGAGGACGAGTGAGTTCTTCTGACGCTTGTGGTGTTTGCGGGTGGTAACAATGACACTGGTGACGCGATTTAGGAGCGTCTACGGCGCGGCGATGTACTACGACAAGTTCACGTTCGATCGCGTCACGGTCAAGAACCCCAAACCCGTCACCGAGACCGACAGGGCGTACCCAGGCACACGCGTCACTGCTAGCCAAGACTCCATTTTCCAATCGGTACGTTGCAACACCATCTCTCTGGCTCTCCTCGATGTAACAACCCACCCCACGACTATCGCTCAGATGGCCAAGTCGACATCCACACGGACCGTGTTCACGACCGACACGGTCCTTTCGACGCTCATGTGTGCCACGCGGTCGGCTTTCTCGTGGGACATTGTTGTCGTCAAGGACGGCGACAAGATGTGGCTCGATAAAAGACCCGGTGCCGCGCACGGTGAGTACTATCGCCCCTCACATACAGACTTTCACAATTTGATCTCATTTTGGTTGATTTGTCACGTTGTAGATTTCGTGACGGTGAACGAGAACGCCCCCGAACCTCCGCCCGAGACCTCGGAGGTCAAGGAGAATACGGCGAGCGCCCTTGCAGCGGAGGCGACGCAGGTGCAGAAGGATTTGCTCGCGCTTGTGACGAAGGAGGTTGGTGACACCGTTTGTGGCTGTCTTCCGCCTTCGCAATGCTGACTCCCTTCGCCCCTCACACCCCCATCCGAAGTCAGACAAATTCACCGTCGCCGACTCAAACCCCTACGCCGAACCCACCGACGGGCCCTTGGGCTCCCTCCTCCTGCGCTACCGTACGTTCCACCTTGCGGGTACCGACCTCGCCGTACGGACCACGCTCGACGCCGCCGTGCACGTGCCCAACTCCGCGGCCAACTCGTCCGGGATTGACCCTGAGGCCTCGGCGCAGTCTGCGACGGACACTGTCCTGGCGAGCGTCAAGGCCCTCCTGGAGCACGACCAGCGAGCCACCGAGTGGAAGAAGCGCCTCGACGCGCATAGAGGAACCGTTGTCGCGACTGAGATCAAGAATAACGGCAATAGGATGGCCAAGTGGGCCGTGGAGGCCGTGTTGGCTGGAGCGGGGCAGATTCGGATCGGGTGAGTTGTGCCGTTGGTCTCCATGCACGACTATCGATGAAGCCGTGATGCCGCTTTGCTCCGATTCAGGTTCGTGTCCCGGACCGCCCCGCGCTCGTCCAAGTCGCATGTCCTCCTCTCCATGATGACGTTCAAGCCCAAGGAGTTCGCCGGCCAGATGAACTTGAGCCTCAACAACGCGTGGGGCGTCGTGCGAACGATTGTCGACCGGCTGTGGGGATACGATGATGGGAAGTACGTGCTTGTGCGGGATCCGAACAAGGTGGGTAGTTTATAGTTGATGTTTGAGCGTTGTTCGTGGGGCTTACGGTTCGTCTACTTTACAGCCGGTTATTCGCATTTATGAAGTCCCCGTGAGCACGTTCGATGACGAGTTTGCGGAAGATTCGGACGAGGGGGATGATGGTTTAGATGATTAAGAACAAGACATGATGCACGCTACTGTTGAATTGTGAAACATCAAATGAGTCACTGGTGTATCGGTATGCGAAATGCTATCTCCGTTTGAGCGTTCGAAAAGAAATTATGGAGGTCCTTGAAAAGCTGCACTACATCATACTAATGTTCTCAAGGCTAACGTTTCCATCCTTCAATCAATCTCAAAACAAATCTCGACTGCTCGAGGCCCCGTCAACTGTGAACTACACGCATGCATTTTTCTCTTTGTGCTGTTGGTCTGGAATTCTCAATGAAGGAGCTGGTCGAGCATGGGATGGGTCAATCCGTTTCCACGATTTACGGTCGCGTTTACAAAGCCTGGTATTCCACGATGTTGCGGACCATGGACCCAGGTTTCTCTCTGGGGTATAGCTGGTGATCCGTTTTTGCGAAGTCCCCGTCAGGTAAGCACATGGAGAATGGTTTAATCCTCGGAGGATGGGAGAACGCTTCAAATGAGAAAAAGCTACGACGATGTACACTACTCTTGTTCTGTGATAAAAATGTGGTTATCTGTACAAGTACAATCCTCACCACATCGGAGTGTTACATCGGGGAGGAATGGCGCTCATTGGCTGCTAACGCCGTGGCCTCACGAAAGATAAGGTTGCCGGGGAATGCAGGCAAACCCAAATCCCGAACTCAACTTCCGACTCGCCGAAACGAAACTCGAAGACGCTTCCTCCCTCTGTACATCATCGCCATGGGTCAGAAGTTTCCCGAAATCACGGAACCGCTCAAAAAGTTCATACTCAACCAGAAACTCTACTTCGTCGCGTCGGCACCACTCGGCCAATCAGGAAGAGTAAACGTTTCTCCAAGTAAGCACAATTTAATGTTCTATTGTCCAATATGGGAGAGTCCGTGACGTGAGTCGGAACGTCATCAAGAGGGCTACGACACTTTGCGCCTGGTATCGTCCAAGAAGCTGTACTATGTCGACCTGACAGGCAGTGGAATTGAAACGGTCTCGCATATGAAGGAGAACGGCCGCATCACACTGATGTGGATTTCGTTCGACAAACTACCGGAAATCGTGCGGTGAGCTCGTTGCTTCTCGGAAGATAACATATGGTGCCTTCCTCGTTAACACTTAAACCTCTCTGTGGTAGTGTCTGGGGACGTGGCCGTGTCGTCGAGCCCGGGAGTCCGGAGTTCGAGGAGACAGTCGAGTGATTAGAGCGTCTCTGTGCTCCTTCGCACACCCTAAAAATCTGACCACTACCCACATAGTCCAAAGCTGAAGAGCATCCCTGGCGTACGCGCAGTGATAATTGTTGATGTCGACATGACAGGAAGCTCCTGTGGCTACACTGTGCCGTTCTACGAGTTCAAGGGCGAGAGAACAGTGCTGTTGGACAAGGCTGATAAAGCCACGGAAAGCGTGAGTTTGAGTTGATTTGGCACTGTTCTTGGAGGGATTGGTTGATGTGGTTTTTATGCAAGAAGGGCTTCATCAAATACCAGAGTGAAAACAACAGTAAGTCGCCTCTTGTGCTTTTCTGCGCGCAGCGATAACAACTTTTGTGTCGTTCATTTTCTTAGTGTGGAGTCAAGACAACCTCGTGGGCCTGGAATCGAGAATGCCAAAGAACTTTCTTTGGTACTTCAAGCGGTACTTCATGCCCTCCGTTGAAGGAATGACTTTGGCAGCAGAACGTGCTGGTTGGATGTTGGCTGGTGCCGCTCTCGCTGGGTTCCTTATGCCCCGAATAAGTCGCATCACTGGCATGCTTTCAAATTGACGGTCGATGTAAGAACGAATCAAGTTTGATTGACTTTAAATGTAAATAGAACCGAGCACCTCTGTACTCTGTAATCATATTGAAACGGTGCCCAAAAGGTGACGGTATGGTGCGGAACGCGCTCAAATCTTTGTCCTTCTCCAAAACATCAACACAATGAAGAGGGGATGAAAACGCCCAACGAAAATAATGTCTCTTGCGGAATAAGACGGACGAAAAACAGCAAAAACAGCAAAAACTGAGAGCGGTGGGATTCGAACCCACGCCTACGAATAGACTACGGCCTGAACGTAGCGCCTTAGACCACTCGGCCACACTCCACTGTTGTTGGTATTTACCTAAAATTATTGTATTTTTATTAGGGACTTTGCGCAGAATTTCCTTCAGCAATTTTCACTCATGTAAAAAATTGTTATTCTCCTCCATTAAAGCAGCAGCCTCATCAAGTATACTCTAAATTATTAATTAGAACATATTCGAATTTATCCTCATCCCCAAATTTCTCACCCTGTGTCTTGGCAAATTGTTTGACATCAGTGAAAAGTGCTGAATGATATTTTGCGCAAGGTCCCTATTTATATATTTAAATATTCTACAACAAATCACTTTCTTTTATTGACGAATTCGCAACGAAGAACAACATAAGGTATCGAACTGAAGCTAGTGAATGCCTCTTAATCATGCTGCGACACGGAAAGTTCAGCGTACATGCTGATGTCCCACCGCGGTGAGTTGTGGAGTGTTTTGTGTGCTGGTTGTCATGATTCGGGGACATGCCAAGCTAGAAGTTTGGTTGTCGGGTTGACTTGTTTCGGATCTTGGCCATTGGGTTGACGTCAAATTCATTGCCAACCTCAGCTTTCATATGGTTCTCGATTGGGTCGTGGCTCGTCAAAACTGTGAAGTCGGGGACTGGGACGGAGGTCGGCGTCCATTACGAATATTCGTATTATCAGACACATCGAGCGCGTGCAACGAATAAATTTATGTCGTGATGACTGGCAATGCTTATTGGCGCATTGACGTTCCTGTGCATGTGGTTGTTGGCAACTGCGGACGAGAGAGCAGTGAGATGACGGAGGAGGAATTTTGCATGGCGTTTGATGAAAGACTCTAAGTTGCAGAAGATCCATTCGAGCTTCTCAGTGACTGAATGGGCCTGGGATGCAACATGACCTTCGACGACTTCAAGTAACCGCCACAATTGAACCGAACCACCCTCAAGTGTCCAACCTTCCCTTTGTCCCCCTGAGCTCACGTCGCACTTGGAGAAAATGTCCTCCTCAATATCAGTGGATGCAGCGGAAGACCGTCGAGACTCTGCCCCTCGTATGTTGAACGGGTGACATAGCGAAAGGAATCGTTGGATTTGGGCGGAGGCCACGCAAAAGCGGACAATGGGCGAAGAAACAACATCTGCTCTATGCGATTGTCGGCGAGCTCATACTCGTTTTGGGTTTTCTCGTCTGCCGATTGGTGGAGCTTATCAGCGCCCGACCCAAATCATGGACACCAGAGAGGCGCTGAAGGAGATGTGAAATGGCGCCCGATAAGATCTGTTTCTTGCTGTTGAACTACCGTTTGCGATCCAACCAATCACCATTCCCCTCTCTGTTCGCAGCCCCAGCTCCCCTATCCTGGATTTCCCGCCTTACCTCGCTTCTTCCCTCGAAGGCGTCTCCACAAGCACCCCCTTTCACCCCCGATTATCCTGCCGTACCTGCGGAGAACCCCCTTCGGCGATCTGAAGATTCTCCTGCTGTTGAAACGGACCCTCTCCTTTCACCTTCATCGGAGTACGTGGAGTCCCTTGAAGCAAAACTATCAACGCACCTAAAGGAGGTAGCGCGACGCCAGCTAGCCATCCGAATCTGCCGCATCACGGCTTGGGTCGTCCTCGCGTTCGTCATAGTTTCCTCCTTGGTGGGACAGTATATTGTCGCACCTGCTATAATCTCACAAGCGATAAGCGACGGACAACCTCCCGACTGGCGCGAGCTTCGGGTGTCCCACATCGGAGAGGATGCTATCGACGTGTCAATCAATGCCGAAGTCGCATTGGACCACCTGGCGCCGATGGATGTCGTCCTCGAGGCCGCTTCTTATGCTGTGTTTCACGACCGAGAAGGCTCGGTGCCACCACCCCCGACTCCTGCCGATGGCGCCGCGGAAGGTGCCTTGTCCCTTTCGCTCCCCGCTCGCCTCGCCACCCTCGCACTCCCTCCTCTCAACATTAGTGCCAACTCGCCCACCTTCGCTCTCAGCCTCAATGCGTCCCTCAGTGACCTGAACACCACGCACGTTGGAGCCGTCCTGGGTGAAGTATTCACCAAACGTGAGAATGCTTCTGGTCAGGTGCTCGAAATGCGTGGGAAGAGCCGCGTTGTCGCTGGCGCCATTCGTTCCTGGCCTGAATGGGCAAGAGCAATTTTTGGCTGGAAGGTCGATGTTGTGAAACCGTTATTTGTTGAACCAGGTGAGTTGAAACGGTTCTTTTTTGTGAATCGACAACGTCATCCCCACACCTAAATGTAGACGTCCTCTTCACAAACACCTCAAAGTACCAATTCCAACTGCTGTCCACAGTTTGGAACACGACATCCCCATTCCCATTCCCCTCTCCCCACCCCGTTCTGTTCACTGCATCAGCATCCTTTTTCAACCCCTTCCCCTTGAGCATCGCACCGCAAGGCTGGACTCCGTTGCTTGAAGTGCATGAGTGGATACGAGAGGAGCGAGTCATCGTGAATGTCAAGGCACCTGCCCCATCGTCCTTCTTCAGCTCGGTCACCAAATTCGCGTCCACCGCATTTCGCTCTGTCGTAAAGCAAGCGTTTTCGGGGGAAACCATCTCACTCACAAAGGCTATTCGAGCTCCAAAGACTCTCCACGTCTCTACAACGCTTCCTGAGGAGGGAGGTCCCGGTCCTCTCCTTTTGACAATCTTTCTCAGCAAGGAATGGAGTGTCGAGCGAGAGACAAACCCGAACTTTGTGGCTTACGCTTTAACAAATCAACCAGGTATTATACTACGGTTTTTTGAAACGGCGAATGGGTTTGACTGTCTGCCCTTTAGAACATTCAACCATCCTCGACCTGTTTTCGCGATGGGCAGATGGATCGCCCGTATCACTGTATCTACGTGGTGCGGGACTGCAGTACGCAGAAGGAGTGGAAAGGGTGAAATGGATCGAAAAGATGATTTCTGATACCGAAGGAGTGGTGGATGTTCCTCCTCCTGCTGATGACGATGGAGAAGTTCGGAACTGAGTGGAGGAGGATTCATTTTGCGTGTGCATATCGTGTTGCAATTGCATAATACGCCGGTGTGGATCTGAATGCCTACCTTGTCGATGTTACAAATTTTGTATTATTATAAACAAAGATGCGAGATCCGAACTCGAAGGTAGAGCCATTACCACGACCTTCCACGCAAGTGAGAATTACGTGACAGGGAATCTGTCGCCAGCAAAATGCACAGTCGGAATTCCAACGAACGGTACAAATCCCCTAGGGGTATGGCTACCTGATTCCTGCGAATGATAGTGTCATCCAAGTGGAATTCTTGGCGACGGAACAACGAACGAATCATACAAAATGTCATCCAATCGACGATCGTCGGCGGATCCACGCAGTCCCTCTTCTCCAGTGTCTCCTTCTCCGGATCGACCTTCCGCTCCCCTGTTTGAGAACCGTCGTTTGGCCCACCTTGCAAGGGAACGAAACGGGAGCGTCGATCAAAGGAAGACATTATCCAGAGAGTCATCCATCGTAGTCGAGCGCTCTGCTCCAGAAACATCGGTTATGATTCCTACGAATTCGATGGAAGGGATGGAACTCTCCGCTTCAAGATCGATGTCCGTTGATCGGCAGCCGGGAGAGCGTCCTCGCAAAGCCAATATCAGAGACCAAACGAACTACATGTTCAGCTTGAATTCATTACTCCAAATTGAAAAACCAGGTTTCCTTGTTGTTGCGGGGTGAGTGGTACACTGGAGCTTGTTTGGATTGCGATATGATCGTCTTTCCACCAGAATACACCTAGAGATGTTGGCAATCGCGTGAGTTTTGCTGTTTACGTGGCGGCTTAAGTCTCTTTAGCTACATGCTCGATTTTTGTGACAATAGCGCAGTGATTGGAACATGCTCGATCGGCTTGGTTTACGTACTCTCCTTGAAAGACTGGTCAAATCCAACGGAAGAGTTACATATTGACGGTACCTCATTTTTGAATCTATGCATTGGTGGATTTCTTGCCTTCCTCGTTGGATACGAGTCCGTGCAGGTGTGTCTAAGATTCATTTGGGAAGTGCATCAACCCAATTCTCACACAGATGGCTAGTTTGTTGTAGTCAACGGTGCTAAAGGTTTTCAAAAACTTGGCTTCTGGCTGACAGCACTCGTTGCTTCTGTATTTTGCGTTGGATCAATGCTTCTTTTGGGTGGACCGTGGTCATTCCCTTTCTGGTTTTACTACTTAGGTCTGGCCCCTTCACCACCTTCCGACTACATTGTTCTTAACGTGTTGCATGCTTTGTTATGCAGATATTATTGTCCTTGTCGTCACCTTCATCATCGTCACGTTTGCCTACGGATTTTTCTCTCTCCCTGGGGCTCTTCCATTCGCTCCCAATCTGGAAACTCTGGCAAAAAATCCTAGCTCCTACACATGGACAAAAGCCCTTTACGCCGTCGTGTTTGTGATATGCGAATGCGTTGTCGCAGCTTCCGCGCTTCTGTACTGCATTTTCTTGGTGCCATTTTACGCAAAGTTGGACACCACGGGACAGGTCTTGTGGACACTACTCATTCATCCTGTATACTTTGAGCTCATTGTCTTTGTGCCGTTGAGGTGGGCATGATAGTCTGCGAAATACGCGTTAATCGAGTTCACACGTTCCACCATCTCAAGAGCTTTGACTGATCGGCATATGAAGAAGCGGATTGGTGTCATGCCCGTTCTTGTCCTAGCACACGCACAAATCCACAAAGTAGTGTCCGGTATGATGCTTCTCACCTCTATTCCTACATTCAATGCTATGGTGAGTGACGCACATTGCATGAGCTTGCCACTTTTCAAGCCTCCATAGTGAGGGCCACTGTCCAAAAAGGTGATCGGAACTATCGGCGTCGCTATCTTCCGGTTTTTCTGGCGGACCACCACTTTTTACCGTGGAGCCCTCGTTGACAAGATCGTGGAACACTGGTTGGGAACTCATGTAGAACCGATCCGGTCTCGGCAAGCAAGCATTCGCAGCCCCTCGTCAAGGCAAGCGACCAGTAATGCTCTTGGGAAGGTGCCGAGTGCTTTAATGGACGAC